AAAACAAGCACCCATTAGCACAAAATGCATTCAGAGTATTACTAAAACATTTTATAGTTTGTGTTCTTTGCAGGTCAAACTTATCTTAAAAATAAAAGTTGTTAGTTTTTAAAAGTTATTAGCATTTCTATTTCTTGACTCTTTCTTAAAAGGATATATATGGGAAGAATGGGTATGAAATTTAATACGGCATAAGCTTATAGAATATTTAAGTACTTATTCCATGATAAAATTCATTTTCAAAAATATTCTTTACCTAAATTCTCCACTTCAAAATTAACGGATTTTCTTTCCTTTTTGGTTGGTCATGGGTTTGAACTCAGGGCCTGAGGGTGTCCCTGAGCTTTTTTACTCAAGGCTAGCACTCTACCACTTTGAGCCACAGCTCTTTTGGCTTTTAGGTGGTTAATTGGAGATAAGTCTCACAGACTTTCATGTCCTGGCTGGCTTTGAAACTAGATCCTCATATCTCAGTCTACAGGTGTGAGCCACCTGCACCTACAATGAGTTTTCATTTTGAACACACGAGAAACTTGACTGAAAGTAAAAGCTATAAAGTGCGAAGTTCAATACAACAGTCCTTTCTTCCCAAACATTTCATACTTTTCAACTATCATCATCTGAAAGCAGATAAGAATTCTAAGGTAAATGCACTGCTAAACAAATTTTAGTTTTAAAGCAAGAACAGCTTCTTGGCTTTTGGGTAAGATCAAGTGCCTAAAGCAAGAAAACACTTCTCTTTAAAGACAACTGAATCTAAAATAAAAGTCTAGTATCTTATTACCTGTTCTCCAATAATGTTTGGTTTTACTGGTCGACAAGGTAAGTGACAGATGCACATCCTGAAACCTAGAACAAAGAATGAGTGGTTGTCTTATAATTGTTCATTTAATATTCAACTAACATTAAAAACTATAAACAAATTTTATTTGTTACAAATAACTTGTATTGCAATGTCAAAATTACTTGGAGATTGCTTTAGTTTGTATATGAGATAGGCAGAAACAAATACAGAAAATCAGGATAAATTCTGGTCTTTCATGACTATTTTATCTTGGATAGTCATTTTACATTTTTGGCATTCAGTTTTTTTCTGCCTGCTTTAAGCTTTTACATCTTTACCTCATGTTATATTTGTCACTATATTGACTACTTCATCTATGACATGGTATGAACTTGTTTTTCTGTTTTTTTGTCGGTCATGGTGCTTGAACTCTGGGCCTGGGCTTTTCAGCTCAAAGTGAGCGCTCTACCACTTGAGCCACAGTGTCCCTTCCGGTTTTCTGGTGGTTAACTGGAGATAAGAGGCTTATGGACTTTCCTGCCTGGACTGGGTTTGAACCCTGATCATCAGATCTCAGCCTCCTGAGTAACTAGGATTATAGGCATGGACCACCAGCTCCTAGCTGAACTTGTTTTTCTTCTTACCCTTTTAAGTCTCTTTTGCAAGTTATATTCATTATCTTAAAATGTAAATACTCCTTAGACCTGCCTGGATATGTGACTTTTATCCTTGGTATCTATTTATTCTGCCAGTACCGGTCTTGAACTCAGGACCTCACACTTGCTCTGCTGGTGCTCTACCACTTGAGCTACAACTGCAGCCCAGCTTTTTGCTGGTTTGGTATCTCAAGGACTTTCCTGCCCAAGCTTGCTTTGAATCCTGATCCACCAGGTCTTAGCCTCCTATGTAGCTAGGATTACAGATTTGAGCCATTGGCCTGGCTTTATCCTTGGTAACTTTTAATTGCTTTCATTATTTCTACTATTTTTCTCATGGTAAGGAATCCCAAAATCACAGCTGTAGTTACTTTTCCCAACTGCCTATTAAGCACCAATGGCTAATCTATGGTCAGTATCTCAAAACTTGTCAAGATTAAACTAATTGATTCATTTTTTTTTTTTTTCTTTGAGTTGTTGGGAAAAAACCCCAAAAACCTCAGAGCCTTGTGAACAGTAGGCAAATGCTCTGCCACTGAGCTTCATCCTCAACCCTTTTCAATTCTTCTGGAATATCTTGAAGGTTTTGTTTTTTAGAGGTACTGGGGTTTGAACTCAGGGACTAGCTCTTGCCAGATAGGTGCTTCATCACATGAGCCATACTTCTCTTTTTTCTTCCATCACTTTTTCTACTAGGGTCTTGTATTTATGTCCAGTGCTAGCTGAGACTGGGATCAGACTTAGGCTTCCTGCCTAGCTTGGATAACAAGCACATGCTACACTGCCACACTTTTTACTGGCTTAAATGGAGTCTCATGAACCTTTGTCAGGTCTGGCAGGCTCCGAACATCTGCTCTTAAATAAAAATTATAAGCATATGCAATAGTGCCCAACCTTTCTCTCTCTCTTTTTTTTTGGTAACAACAATGACTTAGTCACTCCTAAACTCAAAGCTTCTAAGCCAACTTTTTTTTCTTTTTATGCTTTATATCAAATCACTTTTCTTATGTGTTTATGCCAAACTACTCCAGAACTCAGCCCTAGCTAAGCTGGTTTTTTTAGATTCATATTTTTATTAGCATATATTAGTTATACAAGTGTGGGGGTAGTTCTTTTTGACACTTGCATACATACATACAGTTTACCCAGATCAAACCTACCCTTCCGTCTCTTTCCATTATCTTTCTTCCCCCTTCTTAAAAGAATTCTAAGAGGTTTCGTCGTTCTGTTTGGAAATATGCACATGCACGTATGTAGTCTTGTGGCTTTAAATGCCATTTATATTCGGGTAACTCCTACATGTGTACATCTAGACCCAACCTCTCCTGTCCTGGAATTCCACATTCATATAACCTCCACTCTGAGGCATCTTAACCTTTGATCTCTAAGTCTGAGGTCCTGGCTTCTTCCAGACACATGATTCTAATGCAGTTGTGTCCAGCTCAGTAAAGGATAACTTCACTTGTCTAATTTCTCAAGTCTAAGCATCCTCAGCTTTCCTTCACATCTGTTATTCCTTCTACATTCAATATATCTGCAACTTCTTTGAAACTTGCTCATGAAGACAAAAACTATGTCTATTTACCTGAACATTGTGAAAGAACCCAACAGCCTAATGTACCTGAGAAAACACACATCCATGGGTAAGGAAGTAAGGATGATAGCAGAAGAAAATAACTTGGAAACTAAATCTAAATGAAGACTATAAGAGATCTTTTAAATTAAAGAAGAATTTTCCTTTAGGCAAGAAACCGGAATGATCAGACATTCTTACCTCTCTCCTCTTTCTTACTCTTGAATTACTGGGGAATAAACCATGGCCTTGCTAATACTAGGCAAATAAGTAAACACTTGAACACTGCCCCCAGTTCCTTTATTTTTATATTTTGTTTTTGAAATAGTATCTTGCTAGCATCAAGCTCATGATCCTTAATCCTATGCCTGTGCATAGGATTAAGCTATGTGCTGCTACCATGCCCAGATCAAATTAGTCTCTCATTCTTTTTCCCTTAACAATGAGTTATATAGTCTTTTATTAGGGTTAATAAGGTAATTCTGGTACAGTTCTAGTTTTTCTAGGTAGGTCATACTAGCTAGTTTGAAATTGCAAACAAGGTTAATAATTTCTATTTCACATGATCATATATGTCTGTGACACTGACACATACACACAGGTGCACATGCACATGCTCGTGTTTGAGAACTTGTTTCATCCAAATGAAATGCTATAAAGCCTTCCCTATATACTGTTTAAAGAATATGCTCTTCCCAGTGGCTATATTACATTTCATGGTATGTAGATGGCATAATTTAGTTAGCTATCCCTTTTAACTCCAAGTTTTGCCATGAAGTATATGGTGTAATTATCTATCTATCATTGCATATCCGTTCTTGTTTATTAATTCTTTACCTTCTATGGCACTCACAGGAAAGAAAATGCCTGGGACTGATATGTCTATTTTTAAAATTCAAAAGGTATTGCCAGATATTTTTCTTTCTTT